AGAGAGAGAGAGAGAGAGAAGAGAGAGAGAGAGAGAGAGAGAGAGAGAGAGAGAGAGAGAGAGAGAGAGAGAGCATAGGGTCCCCTTCACGTCAATTCAGGGGCCCCTGCAGGTAACTCGAACAGCTCCTACAATATATGTGGAGTGATTGAAGACCAATGCTAACGAGCAGGATGGCCACGTCATATGTGGAAGAGGTGGGAGCAGACCACCAATATATGCTGTGGGTTCAGGGCTAGCTCGGCAGTTATGGGTCACCAATTCAGCTAGACCCTGTTTGCGTCTCCATGTGATTCACAGGGCCTCTGTTACATGGTGAGCCTGCACACGGGCCCCATTTCAGGGGACCGAAGGTTGCTGGGGACCCCACAGCCACACGCCCCTCAGACGCAAGCTCTGGAGGCCCACGGCCAGCCTTAGGGGTTTCACCTTTTGCAGTCACAGATGCCGATCCCAGGACTCAATCCCCAGACCTTGCCTTACCTTACCTTCCCTGTGTACAGTATGAAGTCGACCCTGTGTGCCTTGAACCCGTGACATGTGTGTTAGTAGTTGAAAGTTGTTTGTCGTAGGTCTGAGTAGTTGTCGGGTCTTGAACCTTAGACCTGTCAAAGTAGGGGTCATACCTGCATAGGGGTCATAGTTTTTGTAGTTCTGAAGGGTCAAGGTCGTACCTGCTACAGTCCTGAAAGGTCAAGGTTGTAGCTGCTACAGTCCTGAAAGGCCAAGTCCGCAAACTTCCGGAAGGTCCAGAAGTGGCCTTTCAAGTTTCTTCTCACGTTATTCAAAGCAGACCAGAGGCAAGTGGGCAAGTGGCGAGTCCAACTTCGCTTACTCAGCGGTACCCAGTCCCAGTCTCACTTTGCACAGTCAGCAAGTACCATGAGGGACTGTGTGCACCATGGGCACGGTGGAAAAGGGCAGACCAGCGACTAAATCAAGAGGCAGAGTCCAGCCATTGCGGAAGCGCAGCCTGAGCGCCTTGTGTGAGGTGGTCTGCAGTTGCCTGAAGTCGAAGTGGGCTGAGAGGGAGATAGCACAGCCAGAGCTGCTGGAAGTTATGGATAGCCGGCAGCCATAGCTGCCATAGCTGCCATAGCTAGTGTTAGGAAGTAGTGAGGGTGTGTGTCTGATACAGAGTGTGCGTGTGTGTGGGATATTCAGGGTGATCCAAAGTTGAGCGTATGTGAACAGTGTCGGTGGACACAGTGTCGGCAGTGAAATGATTTGGCGATCAGGCACCATAGCCTGTTTGAAGCGAGTTGTATCTGAACTGTGTTCTTGGTCTCCATATCTTTTTGAGCTTTCTGTGGGCGTCTGGCGCCAGTTTGGTTTGCCATCTGTTTGCATGTATGCAAGTTGAAGAAGGAAGCGAGTCTGATTGCAAGGGCCGCAGGTTTCGATTTGAGGAAGCATTCATTAATTTATTTATTTGCTGTCCGATTTTTGTCTGTTCAGGCATCGTTTCAAACTTGCACAAAGGCCGCACTTTGGGCCTTGGACGTTTGAAGGCAGGCCCTTTCGGGCCAGGTCCACTCTTGTCCAGATACGGACACTACCTGCTGCTTCAGCAGGGAGGGCCTGGACGTCTGGTAGGGACCCAGGCAGGCCACGTTTGGCCTAGGACCAGAGGCACACCGAGGCACACCTGCGAGGCCCAGCGCTACTTATAGCTGGGCCACCGCTGGGCAGACACACAGTTCACGTAGCTCACTTCTTGGGCGGAACACTGCTGCAGCAGCGCTGCTGCGACACTACAGTGCTACGAATTGGAGGTAGAGGTAGAGGCGTAGGTAGAGGGCGGAGGCCATACCTGCATCGGCGGCACTTACCTGGGCGCCATAGCTGCGCTCCACGCCGGCGACCTGCACAGGGACGCAACGACAGTCGGTACATGGCAGCAGTTACCTGCGGCTGAAACGGTGAGAAGGACGGCATCTTCTTCTTCTTCTTCATCTTGCCCTCCATCTCTTCTGCCTCCTTCCTCTTCTTCTTCTTCTTCTTCCACAGAGAGAGAGAGAGAGGTTACAGGCAGAGGTTACATTGGGCATCGGGCCCAGATCTGATTCAACATTTTTGTGGCCGACATTGATTGGACATTCGGCAGGGAGACTATTTTTGGACTTCGCTATCGCGATCTTGGTCTCCTCCCTCACCTCCACCTTCATCTCGCCTCTACCCCCATCTCTCATCCGTGGTATCTCCCCCATGAGTGTGTGCAAGGAGGGACATTTCTTCTGTGTATGTGGTCCCTCCTCCCTCTCTCACATGTGTGGTGTATGACGGGATGTCGCGTCAGTCTCTGATAGGTCAGGTCATATCTTTGAGTCTTCCGTTGCGCTACATTATGCTATTTTCATATGTATCTGGAAGTGAATTGCTTGTCGATGTTTTGCTGACACTGCATTGTCCATTCGAGTCATTTTTATCACTTGGCGGATCCTTGCCTCCACATACATTGCTCAACTGAGCATGTATTAGCCTCCCTCCACCACTCACCAAATGTATAAAACATTAGTAGAATGAATCTTCTGCTAAAACATGGAACCATACACCGCCACATGCTATGTCTTTTGTGCATGTGGTGAGTAGTGGAGCGAGGCCCCTTGGGCCACGGCCATTGTACGTATCATAAGAAAACAAAAACGCAAAAACGGGAGAGGTGCAGGCATCTTCATCCTAAGTTCCTAACCCATAACTGCCGACATGCAGACCTGAACTCCAAGCTTCAGCATATATTTGTGGTCGGCTGGCCTTGCAAAACACATCCCGTGACTACTGCAAAGCATTGTGGGGCAGGTTGCTATTGGGCAACTACCCCCTTCTTGCAAATTTTTCCGCCACTGTGTGGGAGTTGCAGAAAGGAGGGGGAAGGCCAGTTTCCACACCCCGCCAAAAAAAAAAGTTGGAATGAGCCCTATTTTCTTCTTCTTTTTTTTAAACAAGAAAGTCCGTGGTGTAGTAGAGGGCGGAGGCCAGGCCTCAGGAGGTCCCCATGGTACTCATCCATTGGGAGGTCAGGTGAGTTGCTAGGTTCCCCGGGCGAGTCACCTCAAGGATCACAATGACATGACCTATATGGATTCGCCACTTCGAAACTTTTGGGGACGGGCCTGCGGAATCCGAAATTCGGCAGCCCTTGCCAAAAAAAACAGGGAATTTTGGGCTCGGGGCGCAGCCAGTTTCCAAACACGCAAGGCGAGTCGAACATTTTTGCCAAGTTGGGGGCCTGAAAATTTCTAAAACCCCTACTTTTTTCTTTTTTTGTTCAGACCTTAATTTTTCCAGTGTGGTGCACTTCGGTGCGGTGCGCGAGGTGCGCAATGCGTGCGCAAATCTGCTGTTTCAAGGGGGTGCTAAAGACCAATAGGAGGACGACATCCGTTATGTGGCATTGGAGTTACATCGCTAAGGCTTTCCATAACCTAAACGCAAAAGCTGCTAGTTGCCAGAACGCCCCGGTCCCAGATAGTGGAGTTTGGTCCCACAGAAACGCCACTTGGGTTCCCAATCATTTCCTGCAGGGCAGAACAAAACAACCACAAATAGAGCTTGCCTTCCAGAAGCTAGGGTTGCATACTGGCACTGGGACAGGCAATATTGGACGTCGCTCCACTACTCTCGACATGCACAAAAGACAAAAAATCATGGTGGTGTATCTTTCCATGTTCTAGCGGAAGATTCACTTTCGTTTTACACATTTCGAGAGTAGTGGAGCGAAGCCCATTCAAATGTAGATGTCAATTGCTCAGCAAAGAGACGGAAGAAAAAGACTCCTCAAAGACCTCCATTTTAGTTCGAAACAGAACGCCATATAGAGTTTAACTTCCAGCACCCAAATCGAGTACTGGGACTCGGGCACAAACCAGGTAGTGTGTTTCGAAGGGTAAATCTGCCCTCACGAAACACACTACCTGGTTTCGTACACAGGTCCTGACTAGAAGGGTAAATCTGCCCTCACGTGTCCCTGTGTCAGTTACCCACTGTCTGTACCCTGCCTCACTGGAAGGGCATTCCACAAAATAACAAAAAAACAAATAAAAACGAAAAGAGTGAAGCTGTGACTACCCTGAATTCTGGTCGTATACGTTTTCCTAGTTCTGGTTTTCGCACAAAGTACTTCACGGCCTTCCCCGACAGTTCAATTCACGTTATAGTGTCTTCTTTCTTGTTTCGTCTTTCTTATTTGAAATGGGCCCATAGGGCCCAAACATTTCCTTTTTGCCGAGCCTCTTCCATACCCCCGAAAAATACGGTGTCACGAGCCTTGTCCATACCGCCGAAAAATGTGGTGTGACACTGTGACGTATATTCCCGTTTTTTCCAACACAGAACGGAAGTGGTGGTTAAAAAATAAAATAAAATTATATAGCAATCTAGGCTACCAGCCAGGCGGCCCGGGTCATACTTTCACGGGCGGCCCGGCAGTGCAAGGACCAGGGAAGGTACCAGCCAAAAAAAAAAACGAAAAAAAACATGTTACGCAGAAAAATAAACTGAACAACTTCTGCCACAGGGTCACATCGAAATTCCTCACCAAATTTAAAATAAAAAATTTAATATATATATATTTTTTAATTTCTTTTCTGCCCGGCTGGGCTAGTGGACCCGGGCCACTCTGGTAGCCTTGATAGCAATTGTAAAACATGAAAATTCAACAGAATTGGCTGAATACAGTGAATATAATTTCAAGTAACCAGTGACTTAGTAAGTTAGTAATTATGAACTTCAAAGTTTTCTGTTAGGAGAAGCGGTATTCAAATGGAGAAAACTTCAAAAAAGAGAAGACATCTATCGACAAGCGAAGAGCCTAGGCGCCCTTAATTTAATAGGCACCAGACAAAAAGGTGGTCAAGGACGCAGGGCCTGCCACAAGTGCCCCCTTCGTTGACTAATAGGTCCCTCCTCTTTTTACCAGAGAGAAAGGAGAAAAGAAATGGATGGGGCCGAAACGTGGGCACACTCACCTCGTGAAGATTCTGCCGTTCACGCGCAAGTTGACGAACGAGAAACCTTCCCAGTTGCGACTGATGTCGGCGCACCTGACGAACACAGACATCATGAACCTCAGAGTTGCGTTCTCGTCCCCATCATCCGCTCCATCCAGGAAACCCACATAGATGGCCAACTGTCTCATCTGCAACAAATGCGTCGATCATCATGCGTGAAAAATTTGGGCCGACAAAGTTGATAGTAAGGCTCTGAATATACCCTGTTGGGGTGTTTCCTTACTTAATCTATTATCACAAGCCTCCATCCGAAGTCCACTTCAACCAGAATAAAGCAATATGGATGATGCCTTCCTGGCTTTTGTCTATCAAGTTGTGGAGAAAATGCATAACAGAAACCTTTTTGATTTTGCTTTCCCTTTCGAAATTGTAGTCACTCCATGCTACCTACTCCCGAAGGGATAACAAAACATCGGCAGCTAACTCTAATGCTACCTACTCCCTAAGGGATAACAAAACATTGTGTTTGCTTCCCTATAATCACAGGCAACATACTCATCCAGAGCGAGTCTCAATGCTTTCATAACATCCGGAAAAAAAAAGAAGAGCGCCCACAAATGTATCTTGTATCACAGCGTAGTGTACTGTGGCCACATGACTGTCAGCAATGTCAATAGAGCATGGAATGCGTGTCGACAAGGGCAATTGTCTGGGTCTGGAGGAGGCATGTTGCTTGTTATGTTGAGCACGGCTTCCGTTAAGTTAGAGAACTGGCCGCGAATGGGTGGCATTGAGATCATTCTTGGAGCCTTCAAAGAAGCGCGCCCGCAAATGTATCTTGTATCATAGCGTAGTGTACTGTGGCCACATAACTGTCAGCAATGTCAGTAGAGCGTGGAAATGCTTGTTGACAAGGGCAATTGTCTGGGTCTGGAGGAGGCATGTTGCTTGTTATGTCGAGTGTGGAAATGCTTGCCGACAGAACTGGCTGCAAATGGGTGGCACTATCTTATCACAGACGCGACCTCTGGTACCTGTGCCATTCAACCAACTTGATGCATGTGCACTACCTTCATGAACATTAAGAACGGAACCCTAGCATGCGCATGGCAGGAATACTGCCGCCGTGAGTATTACAGACCACAGATCACGCAGTCTAGTTGACAAACGTTTGCGGTGAGCTCAGCATTAGAGACAATTGTCTGCATCCATTGCGGCAAGTGGAAGCACCAGCTGGGCATGGCTTCCGCGAGGGTACGAGATATGGATTGCCGTTCAGAATTGGCTGCCCATGTTAGCATGCGAAGCAGGACCAAGTGCACAGCGTAGACAGGACCTCGGGTAGCGTCAACTCGAGAAGGGCCTATCACTAGGAGTGTGAGCTGTGGAGTGATCCATGGAGGGAGGACATAGACAGCTTTACGAACCAATCCACCTATTTGAGCAATGACATTGCCTGACAGAGGGTAATAGTTCTCAAGGGAGGACATTGTTGAAGTCCCCATTGTATGTCATCATGTTCCCTATACACAGCTCCATACAAAAAAAGCATGACTCTGCCAAAATGCTTTGTGGGACTTTGTGTGTTGTCTAATACCATCCATGAAATGAGACCCCTACCATTTTTTTTGTGATGTTCCCTACACACACCTCCACAAAAAAGCGCATGACTGTGCCTGACTGTTATGCCAGACCTTCACCGACTCGTGAAGAGGTTGAACCTTAAGTGTTTTGTCATCTTCTCTATACAACTCTACAAACAAAGCATGGCTGAAGACTGTTTTGTCGGATTTTCACCGATGCATCGGGAGGGTGAACCCCGATGGTCCGCCCACAATGCATTTGACTGAGGGATAAGGACTCGCCATACCTCCCAAAGTTAGTCATACCCCCTGAGAAAAGACAGACTTTACACCAACCCTGCAAGCCTGGGTGTGCAAGTGTTGACTAATGATAATATAGGATGGAAAGATGATGAGGATTGGTTTGACAGGAGTGCATAAGCCATCTATCAATCATGTACGTGTATCATGCAATAACGCATATCGCCTCACTTGCAATCAAAATCAGAATTATCTTTCCGTTGCAACTGCCAGACCAACATCAACATGCCGACCGTAGAAAATCCAGAAAGTCACCAGTCCTACCAAGCATGTTCATACGAACCAAAGAAAAACCACCCCTGGGGCCTGCCCATCTTGAAACATCACTCCTACCTGGGTGACAGCCTGGGGCCTGCCCATCATGAAACATCACTCCTACCTGGGAGACAGCAACCCTGATTGACACGTACATTCAGATCGGGAGAATGTTTTTTCATTACCTTTGTTTACTTTTTCTCTTCTTTCTCTCACGCGGCATGACCTAATCCACATTCCTCCTTTTTCTCAGAACTTTTAGTCACTAGAAATCAGAATTAAAAATCACAACAACGTTGGGGTACTCGAAATGTAGCGCACTCCTCCTGTACCCCTCTTGGTCAGGTAGACTGAGCCTTTGCTTTTCCGGTATTCTACGGGAACTGTGACTGCTGGGTTGAAACCACCAGTGCATCCGAGCCTCTTTTCTATGAGGCGGATTCCCACTGCGCGCCAAGCTTTGCCGAAATGCCATTGTATCGTTTTTGCTTTCGTCTTGGCTGAAGCCACCAGCCATTTCCGTCCGGCTGCCCGGAGCGTCCGAATTTTTTGGAGAGAGCCTCTTGTTGTTCTCAAGTTGCCTTGGGCCATGTACTGGTGGTTTAAATGATAATGAGTACGGCGAGAATGAATAAAGAAGCACCTATGCTCATATCTCAGTGATTGATAAGATGCTCCCACTGTGTCCTTTCTAATGCTACCAGTGCATTTTCCATGCCAACTGAGGAGCATGGACTCTGTAGTAGTAGTTTCCATACATACCAGTGTGACAGCATCTTCCATGCCAGTGGGCGCATCAACAACATCAAGAGACTCGAAATTCTCAAGAGAGAGCAAATCAGCACCAGCATCGACATCGGATGGAAATGACTTGTCATGTGGCACACGTGAATCATCCCATTCAGCTGCCAGCAGGAGTATCCGAAGCACCTCTCGGTCTCTAGATTCTTCCAACTGCTGTACCTGTAAACAATGCCATCAACATACGAAAAATGAGAACAATGGCAACGATAAAAAAGAGCAGTTCTTGGGCCCCTTCCTTTTTCACCAAGTAGATTTTCAGTGTTTTACCAACTTGGATGTACAGGCCCTGCGTGCCGTTTTCTACAGAACCGCCAGCGCAACAAAAAAATATATAACTGCTGGTTTAACTTCCAACAGAACACACAGTACCCTTCTGAACCAGCACAGATGTCCCAAAAACGTCAGTCTGTGCTATTAACCTCCTGTCCCAATGAGGAAAGCATTCTCATTCACCAAGCACCAGCCAGTACGATTCAATAAACCTGCGAACTTCACAACCAGAGTGAGGCCTGGTAGAGGCCTGGTTTTGAGAGCTTTGGCGGGTTCTTGCTGGGTCTACTTGTACCATGTGGAGTGTTGGTAACCCGTGAAGTGAGGCTATAAATTATTCACGAAGACGGGTAATGGCCCCAGTACTTCAAACTGTTCTTTGTACTCTCACAAGGGACGCTGGGCCCGGTTCCCATCATGTGTTGCTTGCCACAAATAGATTGCGAAAGGATTTCACACTGCAGACACCCGAGAGCCCAGCAATACAGGCTCCGAGGTCCAGAAGGTTCCGAAGTCCCAAGTCCCAGTGTCACGAGGGGCAGGTCCGATCGGCCAATTTAGGAGCCGTTGGTCTAAGTCGGAAAACATCTGGAAAGTCGAATCACTGCACTGTTAGTCCAGTACCCAACACCAATGTCCGGAACCATCCAGTCCAGTCCCGTCCCGACTCCCAAGTCCACAAAATTGCAGCAAGTCCCAGGAAAGTCCGTGATTGCAGCAGACACTGGTACCGGTCCGAAGCAGGCCAAACCACGACAATTCTATATTTAGCTGCTGCAGTGCAGCGGCTCGCCAGTTGTTCATTCGTGAAGTTGTGGAAGAGCTGCTGCTGCCTGTGTGACCAAGCGACTTGGGCAAGACGACATTCGAAGGAGACGGGAGCGTCAGCGACAACCATAGCTATGGTAGTGATATGGGAGCAGGGCCGCCAAGGTCTGAATCTGAACCGAGTGGGTGTATCCAGGGCATGGTCCAAGGCAGGAGCGAGAAAGAGAGAGAGAGAGAGAGAGAGAGAGAGAGAGAGAGAGAGAGAGAGAGAGAGAGAGAGAGAAGAGAGAAAGCGGTAGTCGGATACATAGCTGGTTCAAGTCGGAGACTGTGTGAGTGGCAGAGACCGCAGAAGACATGAACACTTTCTTTGTATATATAATACAGATATTTTGCGTATCAACCTCTCGTGTGATTCTTGTGTCTCGGCTATCGGTTCCAAGTGTGAACACTCATCTGGATGCTCGTTGCATGTGTGTGCGAGGTTGAGGGAGATTGACTTGGAAATCATTGAAATTGGAGCATGTTCCCGATTAAAAAAAAAAACAAAGACATTGTCCCAGTCATGCACATAATCTGTAGTGGTCAATTCCATACCTTAGAAATACGCTTGACAAGTTGACATGATAGTTCCGAATTTTGTTTTTGCCCAGACCACTACATCGATCCCCATTCCCATCCACCCCCCGCCTTTCCCCCCCGGCCTTCTCCTCCTGTGATTCTCACGAGTCACCTCCACTGTTTCACACTTGAACCAACGCAATGCTGTTCGGTAACATATGAACGTTCCACTCTCCCAACAAAATCTAGAAAACAAAGGTAGGGTTACGGACTGCACGCAGATTGTTGAGGACTATTCTCAACGCAATGCAATCATTCGGTTTTCTCTTGATTGTCTGCAGTACAAAAAACTTTCTATACTCTGATAGAAAGCTCTTGTTTGCACACAGGCCACCATGTGCAACATCCCCTCCAGTAGCTGGAAAGGTACGAAGAAGGGATGTTCATGCCAAGCAATGTAAAAGAGTCTCGGATTTCCCAACTGTAGTAGAAGTAGGTGAGCCCTAGCTGCCCCAGTGTAAAAGCTGCTTAAGGTTGCAAGCAAAACTGGCACGGCTCTGTAAAGATGGTTGAAATGAAGCCACGGCCCTGCGCATACTACCATACACCTCTCTAAGTACTTTTCAGGCCTTGTAGCGTTCTAACAAGCCACCTGTGTCCATCCTTTAATTTGACAAGGATTACATCGCGACGCCTCCCAGATCCTTTATCCCGAAAGCCGACACCTCAAAAAAGGCATCAAACGACTAAAATAATAACCTCAGGGTTGCAAATGCTCCCTATGTCCTCACAAAACTGTTCCTCCACCAGGGGTCAGCAGCTAAATGAAAATCCGAGGCTACCACCACTCACCGTCCCATGTCGCTGAATGGTACATATGTAACCTTTGATGAGCACATCATGAATCCAAGTCGTGGAAGGATCGGATGGGTACAATACTGGCATTCTAAATTTCAGGTTTTCCATGTTTTGGAGCTTGTGAAGTACCGAAGGGAATGGAAAAGAGGGCGCACGTACATTATAGAGAGTTTTGAAGAGATGCGGCAAGACCACTCAAAAACTTACCCGATCCAGCGACAATGAGGAAAACACTGATGCTGCACCAGGTCGACTAGATGGAAAATGCTTTCTGCTGGGTGGCGAACTGACTTTCACCATATTGCTGCCAGGCCCCTGAGAAGGTGAGGTATTGCTTGGCTCTTCTAGAAACAATGGGTTCAGATGGCATTCCGCTGCGCAAGTAAAGAGTCCCCAAGAATACAGATAAAACTTATCAGCATGCAGTTACCTTCCTGAAAATGAGAAACTCTGGACAACTCATTTACCATTACTTCTTTACTTTATGGAATCAATATCATCTCTGGTGCTGTTGTTCCTACATCAGCAGCTATTGGCTTACATTTTTATCCTATATGGGAAGCAGCTTCACTTTATAAATGGCTTTATAATGGTGGCCCTTACGAAATGATTGTCCTCCATTTTTTACTGGGTGTTGCTTGTTACATGGGTCGTCGATTATGTAATCAATCGCTCATCTTACTTCATGTTCTACCCACTGTAAGCATTTTGAACTTCATGTAAAAGAAAGCCTCAGCATCGATCAATCAGGCAAATTAGAATAAAAGTGAGTGGCTCGCCGCTTTCTTTCTTTCTTTCTTTCTTTCCGTTTGGGCACGAGTCCTTGGATTGCTGTTGCATTTCTGCTCGTGTAGCAGCAGCTACTGCGGTACTTTTAATTTATCCTATTGGACAAGGGATCTTCTCTGATGGAATGCCCTCTGATGGAATGCCTTTAAGTATTTCCAGAACTTCCAATTTTATGATTGTTTTCCAAGCAGAACCCAATTATATCATTGCATCCTTTTCATATGCTAGGTGTAGCTGGTGTCTTTGACAGCTCTTTATTTAGTGCCATGGATGGTTCATTAGTAAGTTCTAGTTTAATCCGTGAAACTACCGTAAAAAAAAAGGATCTGCTATTGCAGGTTAAGCAGCATGTTCATCCCAATGCCAGGTTAGCCATCCATCCTAACTGCCATCGTGATACTTCCCGTTTTTCTCAGTCACAACTTTAATGACTGGTGACCATTATGTTTTGCCTTCTAGGATTGGGCGTGACATTGAAGTGCTCAAAAGAGCCATTTAATCTGGCAACTAGCACCGTTCTTCTCACATCCATTAAAATTGGAATGCTCTAGAGATGATTAGTAAGGAGAACATTCGCTAATGGAGAAATGGTCTAAATTACAAGAACGAAAAGGGAATTGTGGTCCTTCGCTTTGTGCACCATATCTCCAGGTGCCACGAGGAGCTTAACCACCTGTCCTCCACTGCAATGGAATAGTCCACATGATGATCCTCAATAAGCATGGGACACGAAATGGCACAGGACATAGGATGAGCAGTTGAGAGGCGTGAGACACCATGATTTCGATTGGACGAAAAACAATATTCGTTGGTGGTGGTCGGATAGATGAAATTCTCTGCTGATAAGAATCGGTCATATCACTCACATCCTCTTCACAGGCAAACAGACATCGGAATGTATCCACCTATGGAAACATGGCATTTGTTTCTAGTTACGACCCCAAGGGAACAGCACATCATTACTTTGAAAAAGTGGTGCTCTCTGGTGAGCACTTGAAAACCACAGAAAACCCAAGAGCCTAGCTCAGTGGGTACGCCCAATAACTGTTGAAATACAGACCCGAGTCCGAATCCAAATAATGGAACTCGATGAGGAAAACCAAATGTTTCTGAATTGCCTGGGTCTGGTCAGTTCAATGGTGATAACTGGAGACCGTCGCCCTCAGGAATGGGAAAAAAAGAAAAAAAAAAGTATTGAAAGAGATTTGAATCATTTGATGCCGTGAGGCATGCAAACACACGGCTTGCCCCGTCAGTGAAAAGGCCACTGGAGTTGTCATTCATGAATGGGGAAATAGACAGACCAAGAAAAACACCCAACCAGAAGTATACTCCTTGCGAACTAGGAAGCCGCAGGGATACATTTTCAGGAACCTAAAGAAACTGAAGACGGTCAGATAAGAGCATAAAAAGAATTGGGGCCTTGCTCAACAACAGCCACAAAACATTTGTCTGAGTGTGTGTTGCATACGTGTGTGACATAGTGACTGCATCATGATAGGGCGAGTGCCAGTTGCGGGAGGGCAAAATGCACTCACAGGCATTGCCCTCTCTCTCTCTCTCTCTCTCTCTCTCTGTGTGTGTGTGTGTGTGTGTGTGTGTGACACTCAAATGTTCTCTGAGTTTATCCAAGAGAAACCTCTAAGAGTGCGTCGGACAGAGACGGACAGGGTAACGGCTGTGAGGGAACCAGAAGAGCGGTAATTCACACTCGCCCTGATCGATAATCCACGCAAACTATCTTTCCAGTTCAACAAAGTCGCCATGTCGGATAGTTCACTGCCTTCAGCCCCCGACACAATGCACCCTGCTCATGAATATATACAAGCTATCTTTCAGGTTGCATTGCGTTCTTGGTTTTTGTGCGTTACCCTTCCACACAGGCTGTGCGTTCTGTGTGCTGTTCTGATTTTAACGAATGTTTCAACTTTCAAGGGCCTTTTTTTTCACTGGCAACACATAGTTCGTTCATGAATCTCAAAGTAGACTCCCCAATATTCAGAGCTCTCTCTCTCTCTCTCTCTCTCTCTCTCTCTCTCTCTCTCTCTCTCTCTCTCTCTCTCTCTCTGTNNNNCACACACACACACACACACACACACACACACACACACACACACACACACACACACACACACATATATCCCATCGCATGATGCAACAACGCCTCTTTTTTTCCTTTTTATGCCCATTCCCTTTGCCGTGGATTCGCAGTATGATAGACAAGGACAGTGGGAATCTCGTATTCTAAAAGATGACCATTTCTCAATTTTTGCATTTCATCAGCACTCAAACGGATGCAGACAAAACCAAAAATGTGCTGCACCTGTGCACGCCGACAAGTGCAGTAGCATGCTGCCCAGCACACTGGACATGTGCGCACCGCGGTTTTGTGCACTGCACAGCGCACCCTGCCCGGGAAGCATGGATAAGACATATTAACAACCAACACCAACAGGAGAGATGTGTGAGCCCACCTGCAAGAAGTAGAGCATCAACAGACACTTGATGATGGTCATCACAAGCATCACCAGACACAGTCTCATGGAGTTCCTGCCATGACAACAAAGAAACCGAATCACCAGCACCGAACATCAACCAGAGGAGTATAGCCACATCATCTCAACTAGCTGATTTGCACAACCAACATTTCGATTCCAGCCTGCTCAACCAAACGTAGCCATTTCTGTACGACTGCATCAAAGGCTGATCTCTTGTACCGTGGAAGTTCTACAGACTGTCAGCAGAACTCCGCATTTCTATACGACTGCATCAATGGTTGATCTCTGGTGCAATTCATTCTGGTGTTGTCCCTGGACTCTCTAGATGACCTAGATCATCTTCTTGCACAATGTCTCCTGGATGATAAATGTCTTATGGCCAGAAGCGGTAGAAGTTCATCAATAGTGTTGTTACAGCCAAACGGACTTCCTCCCTGTTGGGGGTCTGACGGCCTCCCTGTTGGGGGTCTGAGGTGGATAAGACATTGTCATGGTCTGGGGGTAACAGCCACTCTTGTGTACACAGTGTTGGTGCTCAGGGGGATCACTTCGAGGGGATGCAAAACCATATACGCTCATTAGAGTGGCTGGCGCCCCCATCTACATGTACGGCTTCCCTTTTGCTGAGAGTGATCTTGATTTCAACATCTGCCATGGAAAACTCGTCATCGAAACCCACAGTCCCCTCTTCCTCGATTTCTCCATCAAATACCACACCTCATGAGCCAACCAGTCCGCAGCACAAAGCAAGTACGTGAACTGACAAACAGTACACTCCAAGCATCCAACAGCACAAATCAGGAAGCAGCCAGAGAAATTAGAAAGAGAACTTCACAGACAAAAGAAGAGGACCAACTGGGTGTTAGGTCCTTGAGAGTTCTTGGCAAGTACAGCAGTGTGTCCGCGTATGGGCAACATTGAAACACGGAAGAGGTGTGATAAGTGGCCCCATCCCTGCACTGAATGACCACGGCGACAACGAGTAGCCTATTACAATGGCAGGGCAAATCAAAAGCAAAAAGCTGGGTTCACATTCAAAGTGCGGAGAAATGAAAGCAAAGAGCCGGGTTCAAACTTCAAATTCAACAGGAAAAGAAACCAGCTGCAGGCCATAGCAACATCAACGCATAAACTTATGACTGGAATCCTGACACAGGTGTCAACAACGTGGTTTGATCATGTACCTCAGCAAACCGTATGAACTCGCCAGCCCGCATGTCCCGTTCAGCCATATTCGTCAATTGGAGGTACTCGGCCTGGAGGGTGAAATAGCCATTTGCAGTGGCATCATTGAGAATCAAACCCTTCGGATTCTTGTCGTTACCAAGAGTTGCAGAGGAAGATTTCAGCGACCAAGCTGCTGCCGCATCTACTCCGCTCATTCCCTCATACCTCCTTCCCATATCTACAGCTGACACCCTGCTGGTTCCATCCCCTCCTACCCATCCATGCCCATGCCCACCTCCTTTCGGATCCCACGACCCTCCTCCTATGACGCCTGGTGTGATGGAGATGCCATGCACCATTTGTGGGGCAAACAACCGGCTGCCCTCTTCGTTGCCAACCCTCGTTCCTCCTCCTTTCCCTTCATCTCTTTCTGCACCTGTCACTGGTTCCTCGGCCAAGGCAGGTGTTATCCAATCCACACCACCTGGCTCAAGTTCACCTGGAGGCTTCTTCTCCACAAAATCGCCGAACCTGCAGACCCTTACTGACTGTCCTTCACTGGCACCCCCTGCTCCCACTCTTCCACCTTGCAACTCTTGCACATCTTTGTCGGACGGATACAATGAAGGGCCGCGCACAGGTGTCCCCTCTTGCAGTTGCAATTTCGATCCCAATCCAGTCCCAATCCTCCCCGCATGGACTGCATCCAATCCAGCAGGTAAAGGGAGCTCTGGAGCAAGGATTGAGAGAAGAATGCTGGCAACACAACCCAGGGACACATGCAATCAGTACCTCAACCTGGCACCCCCTGCTCCCACTCTTCTTTCTGTGCGCACTCGGGCACAAATCTGGTGCCCGAACACACAGCCAGCCGCCTGCGTGTGCAGCGACCCTGGGCTGGGTCACAGGTAGCCCCAGCGCAAAAAAAAAAAAAAAAAAAAAAAAAAAAAAAAAAATGTATGCGTGAAAGTACAGCTAGAAATGTGGGTACAGAGGAATCCGCTCTGAAATTTTCAAAGAAATTGAAACGGTTTTCACCTTTTGCAGTCACAGATGCGGATCCCAAGGCTCGATTCCCAGACCTTACCTTACCTTACCTCACCTTACCCGTGTACAATATCAAGTCGACCCTGTGTGTCTTGAACCCGTGACCTGTGTGTTAGTAGTTGAAAGTTGCCTATCGTAGGTCTGACTACTTGTCGGGTCTTGAACCTTTGACCTGTCGACGTAGGGGTCATAGTTGTTGTAGTTCTGGAAGGTCAAGGTCGTAGCTGCTACAGTCCTGAAAGGCCAAGTCTGCAAACTTCCGGAAGGTCCGGAAGTGGCCTTTCAAGTATCTTCTCACGTTATACACAGCAGACCAGAGGCAAGTGGGCAAGTGGTGAGTCCAACTTTGCTTAGTCAGCGGTACCCAGTCCCAGTCTCACTTTGTACAGTCAGCAAGTACCATGAGGGACTGTGTGCACCATGGGCCCGGCGGAAAAGGGCAGACCAGCGACTTACAGAAGTATAAATCAAGAGGCAGCGTCCAGCCAAAAGGGCAGACCAGCGACTTACAGAAGTATAAATCAAGAGGCAGCGTCCAGCCATTTTCATTCCTGCGTGAGCCATGCGGAAGCGCTGTCCTGGCGTCTTGTGCGAGGTAGTCTGCAGATTGCCTGAAGTCGAAGTGGGCAGAAGCGGAGTCAGAGCAGCCATAGCTGCCTGTAGTAGAGATAGCCAGCGGCCATAGCTGCCATAGCTAGTGATAGGTACTAGTGTGCATGTGCATGAGAGACACAGAGTGAGTGTCCTTGGAGTATCCAGGGAGATACAGAGTTAAGTGTGAGTGTGTGTGAACAGTTGGTTGGGAACACCAGTTGGGAACGATGTTGGGCGCTGGGGCGCCATAGCCAGCTAAAAGCGAGTTTGCATCTGAACTGTGTTCTCGACTTGAATATCTCTGAGCTTCGTGTAGGCGCACAGCGCCAGTTTACATCTTCATCTGTTTGTTATGAACATGATTGTCTGCCGCAATTTTATCAGCACTCACTCACAAAAACTCCCGTACACGCCCATACATGCACAGAAGGAAGGGGAGAGGTAGTGGGGTATCACACCGCCCAACAAGAAGAAATGCAGCGGAAGACTCAGGGGAGCGAAGTGACAGAAAACACAAACAGTGAATTCTCTCCACACAATTCCCAACAATCATTCATAGAAGACGACCGAGTGATCACAGCCAGAAAGCAATGAAGAGATGACAACTCAAACACAGTATTACAACTGTTTATTAAACTCAGAGCACCGTTCTCACTGAATGACCTCAGAACCCTGTTGCGCTACCCTCAGAGGGGTAGCGCCTCAACCCCAACACCCTGAACAGCTAAAAATAGCACTGAAACCCCAGGTAACACCAAGCGCCACCCTGACATCAACTCAGTGGCCTGCGCCAAAGTGAAACAGGCTCCCAGAGCCAATCGCCATCCAGATGATGAAGAAGAAGCTCAGCGCCAACAGTCCCTGATGAAGATGAAATCCAGACGATGATATCTCTGAGTAGATGCAGCTATGGCTGCATCGCCACTGGGACCCTACTCCTGAGGAGGGTCAGCAGTGCACCACGTGCTCCAACGCATCAGACCTCAGAAAGCCCAGACCGCTGTGAATCCCAGAGAGTCAGAGCGGACAGTGTTGACCCCAGTCTGGTCAACGCTCCGGAGGTCTGGCTATATCCGCCGTGTTCACACCGGAATCAGCAACCACGAACCGATACCGTGTGCGCAGCAACTTCCACCACGAATTGTCAACTGCCAAAGGCCCTGGACCGGTGTCCCCATCCTACCTATACTCTACGCTAGCCTAGACCGACCTAGACCGGACTGACTGACCGACCGGTACCGTTTCAGTTTCGGCCTCTAGGGCCTCTCCCTACCCGGCTATAGGCTATAGGGCCGTCTATCAGCATAGGCCCGTGAGCCTGTCTGTCCTAGGGTAGCCCGGGTCCGCTATTCGCAGTCGGGTAGCTGTAGGAAAATCGGGATAGTAATGGGCCCATATTTCTATATTTACAAATATGTCCCTCACGAATTTTCCCTGCAGGCAGGTCTCTCGGTTAGTCCTCAGCCAAACAAAATTACGAATCTACCCCTACCTAGAGTACAGCCTCGTCAGAGATAGGCCACAGGCAGCATGGAAACAGCAAGTCATTGCATGTTTGCATGCATGCGAATTGAAGAAGAAAGTGAGTCTGATTGCCAAATGCTCTTTTTTTATTTAAATAATTGCAATCCACTGCTGTCAGAGTCCTGGACAAGTTTGTGTTCTGCCCATGACAGGGGTATAGCACAACCTTGGCAAACCCCTGACAGGTGTATAACACAGATTTGAATCCAAAAGGGCAGTTCAGAAACTTGTGCAATTTCAGAGGGGTAATCAGCTTTATCCACATCTTTTGGGGTTATTTAAACTCATTTTAGCATATATGTGAACTTTCAGAGGTATTTCGCACGATTTTCCTTTGATTTTTTTTTAATCTGGGAAAATCATGTTGTGTAGAATCACACTGCAAACAACTTTTGGCTAAGGGTCACCTCAGAGTTCCTCATAGAATCAAAGATTGAAAAAGCAGAAAAAAGGGAGCAAGCAATGCCCCACAAAGTGGCACAAACGGAAAAAGAAAAAAAAAGGAGCAAATTTCTACATGCCCAGGGTGCCCTGGCCACGTAGAAACTTGGGCGGTGGGCATGTACAAACTTGGGCTGCTTTCAGTGGGCTGAGAAAAGCCCCACCAATGAAAAGAAAAAACAAACATCCCACGTTTCTACATGCCCTGGGCGCCCTGGGCGGGAGGAAAAAGGGGCCTCTTCAGCCCTGCTGCAGGGCGCCTGCTCTACGTGACCGTCTAGCTCCCATCCTTCCTTTCGGGTGCAGCCCTCACACTCACTCTGCACTGTACGACTGAAGATCCACCATTGAAAGACCATGAGGTGGGAAGAGGGCCGGGAACTCCTAGGGGGGCCATAATGGAATCGCTGCGTCCACCTTGGTCCAATCCGTAAAGCAGATAGTATAGTCTCGTTTCAAGCCGTCTTTCCAACCTTCCGGAATTCTGCCGCCCGCCCAGCAAACGTACGCCATCCAACCTGCCTGTTCATTCCGCAACCAGTCCCTGGAGAATTGCTTATTAGCCAGTGTTTTTTTTTTTTTTTTTTTTTTTTTTTTTTTTTTTAAAGGCGATGGCTTTGAGGTATTATCATCCGACTAAACAGCCCAGGTAAATTCAATATTGTGTCTAATGATTCTAATCTGACATCGGGTGGCCTTTTCAGCCCAGGGTGGCCTTAATTGCCTTCAGGGAACCCCCAAAAGGGGACAGCGGCCAGGGGACAGCCGGTGACAGAGGGACCGAGCATCATCTGAGTGGCCAGTCGCTGTGGCTCCCCGATTACCCCTCCCCCTATGAACATCAGCAGAGAGCGTTTGTGTTTTGCATAGTTTTGCTATTTCATCCTTTTCAGTGTGAAATAGGTCCCATTTAGATCTCGCTGCCTTCCATTATACGGTGAAGTTCTTCCTGAATGTATTGCTTGATTAAATCCATGCCCTCCAGTTTTACTTTTTCAATGATTAATATACACCTTTTCCTCCAGTTTTACTTTTTCAATGATTAATATACACCTTTCCTCCAGAGGCCCCAGATAAGAAAATTGTTCTTAATCTTTGAAGAATGTATTTCTTCACTGAGTGGCCAAATTTTATATGTGCAGCGCACGAGCGCACAAGACTCATACTGGGCACAGCATGTGCAATGTGTGGGGAAAACAAGCCCGCAGAAAAACGGGTCCCAGGCTTGGATTCGTGGCCACCTCCGCCCCCTTCGAAAGATGGTGTTGCGATGAAAAAACAAAAAAAAAAAATTCAAGTCAGAGAGAGTAATGTCGCCACCAACTGCCTCGCATGAGTTTCCTTTGCTAGGGGTAAGCCCATAGTTTCCTTTTTTTCGAAGGCCTGTGGATATAACCAGGGCTGTCACTCGGGGATCCCCGGGGCCCAAGCCGGGGTAGGGGTTTAACCCCCGGAACCCCCATCGTGGGAATCCCCGACGCCCGCCTCCGCCAAAAAACCCCCACCCCCG